GTTTGAGGATCTTGGGAAATGTGGCAGAGCTGTGCCAAAGCTCCCTGGATAATAGGAATGGACTCCACGGGGAACAGAGAGGTTGGAGTGGATTTTGAGGAGCAAAGTGGGTGGACCAGAACTGGCAATTTAGAGGATACTTATGTTTGATTCATTAGTAGCTCCAGGCCCCAGAAACATTAAAAAAACCATTAAAGTTGCAGTTAATTTTTTTTTTTCTCTCAATAAAATTGCCTGAACTTGACAACCATGACCGATTCCCTCTGTTGCCGTTGTCACGCTGCCAGTCTGCATGGGGAAGAAAATTAAAAATGAAGTGGCTGTGTGATAATCTCGGATTTATTGTAGGGTTTTGTGTATGAGCCCCTTTCCCCATCAATGCTCTGTGAAAAGCTGGGGCTTCCTCATCGTGCCTGTGGCCAGACAGATCCTTTCTCCTGCTCTCCACTCAAGTAGCCCAGATGCCTTTAAGGGAAGGCACCAAACTCCACAGATCACAAACACAGAGTTGTGTGACCAAATGGAGTCCCCCTGCTCTGAGATCTGGGTGTGCCCAGCTGTGAGCTGGACATGTCCCCATCTCTGCCAAAAGCAGAGCAATAGCAGTGACAGCAGAATCTTCAACAAGATGCAAATTGTCTCGAATGCGCTGAGGGGAAAAAGAAAAAGAGCTTTGTATGCACAGAGAGCCTTCATCTGTCTCTCTGCTTGGGATGTCTGCAGGAGCTTCTGGAGTCTGGGAATGCTGTGTTTGGGGTTTGCATCTGTTGCTTTCTGCAGCAGACCCGTCCTGGTCCTGTCCTGCCCGTGCAGGGTGTGCTCACACCAGCACTGGTGTCAGGGTCCCTCTGCTGCCAGCCCAGCCACACGTCCTGCACAGAGCACTCACTGCCCCAGGCCCTTCCTGAGCTGGAACAGGAGCATGGACAGGCGCCAGGCTCTGGGGAAGAAGCAGCATCTGAAAATTGGGTAGTTAAGTGCCTACAGAGTGTCCTGCTGGAGGAAGAATCTGGCAGATTTCGGCAGCGCTGCCTTTGGCTCAGTCACTTTGGGGTCACCTCGGTAGCAGGAGGGGACTCTGCCTTCTGCCAGGTAACCTCTGACTGGTTTTTCTTCCTTTAATGAGAAACCTGGAGCCTCACAGGCTGTTTAACTACAGTGCAGGCAGTGAGGCATGACCAAAGCCAAGCCTTTTTCCAAGAACTCGTGTCTCTGCAGGCAGGTCGGCTGCACCAGCATCCCACGGGGCTCCCAGTGGGGACAGGGATCAGTGGCAGATCCCTGCCCTCCCTCGGGGCAGTGTGGAGGGCACAGGGCTCAGGAGTGTCCCTCATGGTGCTGGGTATCGGTTCCTCTCCAGGGAGGGGGCTCAGTTTGGCTCGGAGGAAGCTGAAGGCCAGGTTGGGGGATGAAGGGCCCTCTGCCTGCCTGGCAGCCAGTCTGTGCCAGCTGGGACCCAGGGTGGGACTCAGCCTACCCAGCCCCAGGTAATGCATTTCACCTTCTCTGGCTGAGCCCAGGTGGGAGCTGGTTCCTGACAGAGCACTTGGTGAGATGTTGGGATGAAGGAGCTGTTGAGTGTCCCTCACTGCCCCAAAATGTGGGTGACAGGGAGAGCTCTGGCCCAGGCCAGCCCTGAGCATCCCTCACTCTGCTCAGCCCCGTGGAGCTGGGGCACCCAGGAGGAACATGCAAGGTAAAAGCACTTGTCACAAGGAATAAAATCGGAAACACGTCTTGGGAAAGTATTTTTGATTGTAATTGGCATCTCTGAGGCTGCTGCTGGAGGCTCCTGGAGGACTGGGCTGATGGCAGAGCACAACCTGGAGCCCTGCTCTCCCCACTGAGCCCGTCCTCAGAGGACCTGAGGAGGGGCTGGGGGGAGCTGGGGCTGCCCTGTGCCCTCAGAGGGGCACTGGGAGGTGGCATCTGCTGCCCTGTGGCCAGCACCAAAGAGAACCTTTGGGTAAAACCAAAAAGCAGCAGCGGCCCATGCAGAGCAGCTCTGCTCCTTGGCTCTTGCCTGAGGGTGTGTTGAGTGCAGACAGGTTTAAAGTCTGGCTCCTCTGTGTGGCTGGCAAAGGTTAAAAGATCTCCAGTGTCTTTGTATTTAATTCTCTGTTTTAGTGGCAGATTATTGTTTTCCGTGGGAGTTGAAATCTGGATGGGTTTGAAGGACATTTCTCCTGCACCAGGGGCTGGAATTTGTTCAGAGCTGCTATGCTTTGTCTATCCTTGTTAAGTACCCAGAGAATACAGACTGCCACCGAGGGAATTTAATGTGACACATAAAAATAAGGAGTGCAGGAGAAAGCTGTAGGCTTCACAGTGTTTAACTACCTTCTCTCCTTGCTACAGAACAAGCAATTTTCTTTGAATTTGAGATGCCAAAGGTGAGAGAACACCCACTGCCCTGCCTTGGGGCTGGCACTGGTGCCCTGTGGGAGAGCAAGAGCCACCAGCTCTGTGCTGCTCATGTGGGATCACCATGTCGAAGGGGATTAGCACCAAAAAGGGCTCAACACTAGAAAGTGAGCATGAGTGAAATTGTAAATAGGATCAGCAAGCTTGTTTAGTTTTTGTACATGAAAATTTCACATCACCATTGTCACAGCTCATTCCACTGCTGACTGTTCCTGCTGTCCTGGTGGCACGAAGGGAAGGGCTGGCTGTGAGCTCTGCCCTTGCCAGCACCTTCCCTGCACTACCCCAGCTTCAGCCCTGGCTCTCTGCAGGGGGATGCAGCCACAGAGTACCAGGATGGGCAGGTGAAGGGAGCAGAGCAGGCGCAGGCTTCAGGTACCTGAGGTGTGCCAGGCTGTGGGCACTTCAGTCCCTCCCTGTTCCTCCCCCTCACAGGGCAGTAATACTTTGCTTTCCAAACCTGTGAGAGAAATCCCACCACTTGCTCTGGCCCTCTTTGTCCATTTCAAAAAGCCCTTTTCCAAGCCATCTCTCTCTGGGAGATGAATTCCTCACACACTTACTGCGTTCCTGCCAGGTGAGGTGTCTGTCTGTCAGGGGAGTTAATCCCTACTAATCCCTTCCCTCCTCCCTGGAGCCAGCACACAATCCCCTGCTGTTACAGGAATGCACATTAAATGTGGCTCTTTGGCTTAAAATTCATGAACAAGAAAGGGGAGGGGATATTTCCATCTTTCTGGGGGGATGCTGCTGCCCACCAGCCAGAGGTCACTGCCCTGGCAGCAGCAGCTCCTTGTGTTAATCCCTGGGAGTTTGTTCCCAGACCAAGAGAGTTGCAGCTTGTGCACCAAATGGGCAGCCTGGAGCTTTCAGCAACAACCTGCCTCTTCTTACTCCCTGATTTTGTGCACTCGAGGGGTGCTCAGAACAGTTCATGTGATGTGGTTCCATCAGGTGAGCCCCTGGTGTCCCTTGGCCTCACTCACAGGCTCTGGGCTGCAGGGCAGAGGGGTCTGGCCGTGGTCTGGTGTGCACAGGGGCTCTGGGGCAGTGGCAGTAGCTCTTCCCAGCACAATGGCCCTGACTGGCACAGTCTGTGAACTGGCCTTTGGCAAAACACAGAATTAATCCCCCCCCACCCCCACTGTGGGCTGCAGAACCATTTAGTCCAGACTTTTCTGTTGTTTAAACAACTCTCAGACAAATAAATACCTTTATGCCATGGCTGTCAGCTGAGGCTCTGCTCTCCTGTCCCCTCCCAGCTCTCCAGGAATGAAGTGTGTGGGATCTGACCTGCCAAGGGAGCGGGAGGCAGAGGAGCCTTGTCAGGGGGTGTTGAAGGCTCTGCCTCCTGCCACCCACTGCTCTTTTGCTGTTTGCTAAATGACTAATCTGGGCTGCAGGGCACAGAGATCTCAGGGCATCTCTTACCTCTGGTGTTAATTCCCAGTTTGCCTGAACACTCCTCTGTGGCCGAGGGAAGGGCAGCTCCTGGCTGGAGAGCCATGTGCCATCCTGCTCTGCTGTCACCACACCTGCCATGGCAGTGGCAGAGATGCTGCTTGGCAGGAGCAGAGCAGCTGCTGGCATGGCCAGGAGCAAGGACACGCTCGGGAGGAGGCTGCTCTGGGGCAGCTCGCTGCATTTAAAGCAGGTAGCACTCAGCAAAGCACACCTGCTGAAATCCCACAAAAACATGGATGGGAAGGGGCAGGAAACCCTTGCTGCCCTTTGTTGAGGGTGCCTGGCAATCTCACCTGCCCTCACCTTCCCTGCAGCCGGCCTTAATTGGGTTTCTCTTCTAAAACCAGAATGTGGAGCAGTGAAGCGCTGTGGGCGCACACCTGCTGGGACTCTCTGGGGAGCAGAGGGAGGCAGGGCCAGGGAGGGGGTCTGGGGGAGCTGGAGCCTTCTGTCACACAGCAGCGTGGCTCTGCCAGCCGTGGGGAGACGTGTCCTGCTGAGCTCTGCCCAGGTAGGAGGGCAGGGAAGCAGGTTGTGACAGAGGCTTTTAAAGGGGGATGGAGTCCGCGTGCTTCTGCTCTTCAGGGGGAAGGGGCAGAAAATGGGTTTTAACAGCATGGTGTGGGGTGACTGGAGCATCTCTGGCCCTGCCCAGGCCAGAGGGGACACCTGACCTTCCCCTGCTGCCAGGGAAAGCAGTGCAGGTCTCCCTGTGGCTGTGGGGGGAGGTTGAGCAGAACCCAGAGCCCCTGCTCGGGCATGGAGGGGGCTGGGGTTTGCTTGGGCACTGTTACAGGGTGTTTAAAGCCTCTGTGTGTCAATCCCACGGGAGGTAGCAGTAAGCCATGCCCCGGGGCTAAGGGCAGGGAGGGGGGGGCAGTCTCTGTGTGCTGTAGCTCTGCTCGTGTCAGCCCTCTCTGTGCCCAAAGTCCGTACATGGGGCAGAGCTCCCAGCCTTGGAAGCTTTCCATATCCTTCTCCTCTTCCTCCTCATCCTCCTCCTGCTGCCAGGATGTGCTGGAGGTCAAGTCAGGAGACTGTGATGTCCATTCACACACCTGTGTGGCTCCTGTTGTCCCCTGCTGCCGTGTCACTGCCTGCTGTCCCCACAGGGCTGTAATGTCATGGAGGACCAGGACCTTCGGGATATCGGGATCGGTGACCCGCAGCACCGGCGGAAGCTGCTCCAGGCTGCTCGCTCCCTCCCCAAGGTCAGCACCAGCCCAGATGGGCATTGCCAGGATGGCTGTGAGCACGGGGGAAAGAAAAGGCAGACCCTGCATCTCCAGGGCTGTGGGAAGGGTCTGGGGAGTAGCAGGGAGGAGGAGGAGGAGTGTACTGCTCTCCCAGGCTATGTGGATGCTGGGACTGTTCCTCCTGCCAGTCTTGATCCTTTTGTTTGTACAGTGCTTTTGTTACTGGCTAGTGGAGATAGTGATGGCCTGTAAACTGATTTTCATTGACCCCATATCCCTTGGGACCCCAGCTCCTGCAGCTTTTAACACCTTTCTTGTGCTTTCACAGTTGAAACCCCTGGGCTGTGATGGGAATAGCCAGCCATCAGTTCCTGCATGGCTCGACTCCCTGGGGCTGCAGGATTACATCCAGTCCTTCCTCTCGAGTGGCTACAGCTCTATTGACACTGTGAAAAACCTCTGGGAGCTTGAGATAGTGAACGTGAGTGTCACCTCCCTCCTGCCAGGGCAGCAAGGCCCTGCCCTGTTCCCTGGGGCTGGGACTTGCTGCCAGTCTCTCAGAGCAGCTCTGTGCCCGTGCTGACCCTGATGTCTCCCTGCAGGTGCTGAAAGTGAACCTGCTGGGCCATCGGAAGAGGATCATCGCCTCGCTGGCAGACAGACCCTACGAGGAGCCACCAGCCAAGCCACCACGGTTCTCACAGCTGAGAGTGAGTCCCTGCTCGTGGCTCCCTGCCTGCTTGTGTGGCAGTGCTGGGAGAAATCTTGCCATGGCCAGTGGTGTCCATACAGCTGCTTGCCTCGTCCTCTCCAGCCACCCAGGCAGCAAATACTTGTGCAGGGGCAACCTTGCAGTGAGTGGGGCAAGATAATTCCAGCCCTTACAGGTCAGCCTCTGGATGGTGACCCCGTGGGAAAGGTCAGGCTGCCCCTTGGGATCAGGTGTCTGCACTGAAGGGGTGCAGGGTGCCACTCCCACCTCTGCCCTGCACAGAAAGGAGCTCTGAGCCCACTTTGTTACCCTTGGTTCCTGGTCAGAGATGTGGGAGCTTTCAGCAGGCAGGAGTGACCCAGCCCAGCTGGAGAGGGGCTGCAGCTGGGACTTGGTGTTTGATTGCACCCTTGGGATCCAGAGCCCTCTCCTGGCCCGGCTGGGCTGCTGAGAGCTCCCGCTCTCGCTGCCAAATAACACTCGACAAGATGTGTGGATGTTGATTTTTGCTGCAGGAGTGGCAGCATTTGGATGTCAGGCCCTTGTTACGGGGCTTGGCTGGGAGGGAAGCATCACATTCTCCGTTCTTCCTGAAAACTGGCTTTTGAGAGCCGAGTTTGGCAAAGCTGCTGGGCTCAGAGCGACCCTGAGCTCAGGAATGGGGTAGCATGTCGTGCTGCCTCCTCCCAGAGATTGCTAATCAGCTTCCTGGAGCAGGAATTGGAGTGATTAGCGTTTACCCAACCTAAACATCTGGTCCTTGCCCTGCTGCAGAGCTCTGCCCTCTTGGATTCCCAACCTTTCCAACCCAAACAGCCCTAGCTGAAGCGAGTGGGGCTGCTGTGCCCTGCTTGCTGACACAGGATTCTTTAGGAATCTTTAGGATTCGAGTGTGAGAACAGAGAGGGTTCACTCTGGTGCTGCACTGGGAGGGTGCCCAGTACAGACCCGCTGCTCAGTGCCCTGTGCCAGGCAGCAGGAGCACGGGAGGGACCAGCAGCCAAGGCAGGATCTGCACCGTGAGCCGGGCGAGACCGAAGGCAGCAGCGGGGCTGAGGCAGGGAGAGGCTGCTCATCTGATTGAGATGCTGCCCGGGGAGGCTGCCTGGGAGAATGAGCCATTTGCAGCATTTCCTGGCGCTGCAGCTGGTGAGCTCCAGCGCTGGCTGCGGCGCGGGGGGCGGGCGGACGTCAATGGCAAATCAAGCGAGCGGGATGAATGGGACTAATGCGGCCACAGCTGTGCCGAGGCTCTGGCCGTGCCTGCGGGCCCTGGGCGCGCTCTGGCGGCGCCTCCCGGCTCTCCTCTGCTGGGGTGGCTGATCATCATCGCCCTCGGGTGCTTAGCTTAGTGCTTTAAGGGAGCCCACCCCTCTGGAATGACCTTGCCCCCAGCCCAGCGTGTGTCCCCTGCCCTCCTGGGATGAGCTCTTGGAGGCAGAGGCATGCTGGGCACAAAGGGTGAGTACATGGCTGAAACCATCCTGGAGCATGTGAGGTGTCTCAAGGAGAAGATAAAGGGTGGGATTGACACTGAGGCAGGAGCTGACCCCATTAGTCCACTCAATGCACCCTGTGTTGGGCAGTGTGGAGGGAATGATGGGGTTCACAGCACAGCCCAAGCTGACTGGGTCCCTTTGTGGTGTCTGCTCCTTCCAGTGCCAGGATTTGATGTCCCAGACGTCGTCACCCCTGAGCCAGAACGACTCCTGCACAGGCAGATCTGCTGATCTCCTGCTGCCCTCCGGGGACACTGCCAAGAGGCAGCACGATCGAGGCACTGAGGTTGCTCCTTACTCCAGAGCTGAGCGCTACAAAGCACAGGTTAGTGGGTGTTTTTGTGTGTCCTGGGGGCCCTCTGCACAGGCTCCTCCATCTCTGGAGCCAGGGAGAAGGGAGGGAGATGGTCAGGCTCAGCTTCCCTCAGACATTAGAGTCAGCAGCTCCTTTATACCTCAGTTTCACCTCAAAAATGGATGGCTCACACTTCCATCAGCACTGGCACCTTAACCCCATGTGCTACCTCCACCCAGCTCCTGGGGGACTTGTCCATTGCCAACCTCAATCCGCTCAGCTCAAAGAGCCCCAATGAGAGCTGTTCCAGCCCACTGTGGCTTCACATCCCTGCTTCTTCCCATGCAGGAGGACCGTCGGGAGTCCAGGCTCACCCTGCGCCCCCCCAGCCTGGCAGCCCCCTATGCCCCTGTTCAAAACTGGCAGCACCAGCCCGAGAAGCTCATCTTCGAGTCCTGCGGGTACGAGGCCAACGTAAGTGGCTTTTGGTTAGTGGGGGTGGCGAGGATCAGGAGCTCTGGGGTCTCAGGGCAGTGTCATTGCTGTGGGATTGGCAGGATTTAACATCTCTCCCTCCTTCACACAGTACTTGGGCTCCATGTTGATCAAAGACCTCCGAGGGACAGAGTCTACCCAGGACGCCTGTGCCAAGATGAGGGTACGGAGACCCTGGGGCTGGGGGCTTCACTTGCAGCCTGGGGGGATGATGTGGGTTGGGGTGGGAGACCTCAGTGGTTCCCCAAACCCTGTCCACCAAACAGGCAGTTCCACTGTGTCTGTTGAACTGCCAGAGCATTGTTCCAGTACGCAGAGGCTCTGGGAGAGTGGGTGATTTCACTGGGGAAGTGGTGGCTGGGTTCTCTTCAGGTCCTTGTCTCTTCCCCTCTGCTTCCACCAGGAGCTAACTTTCCTCCTCCTGGTCCCAGATCCCCTAAACTTCTTGTACAGGTGTGGGTGTCTCTGGGGTGGGGGTAAGGAGAGACCATCCATTCACAGCTGGTCACTTGAATTATTCTTGTTTCTGAAGAAATCCACGGAGCACATGAAGAAGATCCCAACCATAATCCTGTCCATCACATACAAAGGGGTGAAGTTCATCGATGCCTCCAACAAGGTGAGCTGCAGATGCCTCAAAGTCGGTGTCTGGAGGGACACAGCCTGCAATCCCACCTGCCTGCGGGCTGCAGGTCACTTTTTGTGACTCCAGAAGCCACAGCTAGTCCTGGGGAGCTTCTGGAGCTGGGGGAGAATACCGAGGTGGTGATGATCACCTGAGTGCCAAAGGCTTGGCAGACTGGCTGCTTGTGGACCGTGTTGCCATTTATTCCTGCCATGGGAGGGAGCTGGGACTGGTCTGGCTGGGAGAACCCCCCTTCCCTGTCCCCAGGACACCCCCCACAGCCACTGTTTGCCGGGTGTATTTGCCATCCCCAGAAGGGTGACGGGTGCTTGTGGTTGACCCCGGCAGAATGTCATTGCTGAGCATGAGATCCGGAACATCTCCTGTGCTGCTCAGGACCCTGAGGACCTCTGCACATTTGCCTACATCACCAAGGACCTGCAGACCAGCCATCACTACTGCCATGTCTTCAGCACTGTGGATGTGGTGAGTGCATTGTCATGTCACATCTCCTGGGCCTTCACAGCTCATTTGTTTCATCCCTCAGCTTTATTGGCTAGTCACAGACTGCTTCTTTCCAGGGTTCTTTCACCCATTTTTACCATAAAGTAGTCTTGGTTCCAAATGCCAGTCCTTTGGATCTCTGTGGACAAAGAGAATATTTGTCTGGTTTCATTCCTGCCATCTCCAGCGCTGAATAAAGCAGGGCAGGAGTTTTCCCTCCTGGGGAATGTGCTCTGCACAAACCCCTAACATGCTCTCAATTATGTTGAGCATAATGGGCTGATTTAACAACTCAGAGAAGGTAGAAGTGTGATTTGCTTTTATACTTGGGCAGAATCAAAATTGCACAAGACTTTTGGGCTGTTTTTCTTTATGCTGCTGAACTGCAGTACTGGTGGGGCTTTACAGGTGGGCAGGAGACCCTGGGGGAGGCATCGTGGTCAGGCTCCCCCCACATCTGGAGCTCAGTGGCTTTTCCAGGGACACAGCAGGATGTGACCTGCTGATGGGAACGTCTGTGACCCCAGAGCAGCTTCTGAGCACAAGGGGGATGTCGCCCTGATTTTTTAAGATTTTCTAAGCCTTCTGATGTTTGCATTCTTGTATCAAACTTTCCCACACACTTTCTGTAAACAACTTATTGTTTTGCATTCTTTTATGGAAGAGGAGAAATTTGATGGACTGTTGGTTTGTCCAGTGTCCTTGGAAAGGTGGCACTTTCACCCTCCAGTCCACTGTCACCTTTGGAAATCTATAAATGTTGGAGTCAGAAAATAAACTTCCCTTTTTCCTGCCTTGAGAGCAGCAGCGTGTCTATGTCATGTTGTCTGGTATCCTGTAACGACAGGGGGACTGTGTACAGGGTGATCTGACAGCTTTGTGTTCTCTGTGTTCTCTCCAAGAACCTGACGTACGAGATCATCCTCACGTTGGGGCAGGCATTCGAGGTCGCCTACCAGCTCGCCCTGCAAGCTCAGAGAGCAAAGCCTCTGGGTGCTGGAGCAGGGGAAATGATTGAAACAAAATCTTCCAAACCGGTGCCTAAACCACGAGCAGGCATGAGGAAATCCGCGGTACGTGGGTGCGGGCAGGAGCAAGCTGCTGGGCTGAGCTGGGAGTTCTTGTGGGCACCACAACCCCTACACCTCCCCTGGGTGGTGGGGGGAACCCAGCCGTGGTCCAGGTGCCTGTCCTGCTGCTGGCACTGCAGGTCTGTGTCTGTGTCAGTTCTGCTGCAGGGTTGGGGCTTCTCCTGGTAGTAGAAGGGCAGGCAGAGGTGGAAATAGCTCAGGTGAGATGGGGCTTTAGTGCCCTGCTGGGGCTTCCACGTGCAAACCCTGCAGAGCTGCAGTGAGATACGTAGGTGAGCTGCAGCATGGGATTCCCCATAGCCAAAACCAGCTAAGACTGGAGCTGCTGAGGAGCAGGGACTGCTGCACAAGCCACTGCCTTCCTTTAATGTCTCCTTTTGTCTGTGTTCTGCTTGCTCCCCCCGCTCAGGTGCCGCTCCCTCCCGACACCCGCTGTTGTTACTGTCACACCTGTACAACACACCGCCCCTCCTACCTGCCGCTGCAGTCTGTTAGTCCTGGAGTGAAGGTCTTTACCCTTCTTCCTGCCATCCTCCATTCCAAACCCACCCGGGCTGCCTCTCCACTTCCTGTATCTCCTGCTGTGCCCCCGTGTCCTGCCTCCTGTTGTTCATGCCCATGCTCATTCTGGCCCATGCCAGGGGTTCGGATGAACCCCGGGGATCTGCTGCTCCCACCCGCCCCTGCTGATGCAGTGTGGCAGCTCTCAGCTAACCCCGTTGCTCCTGCTGGGGTGGTAACTTCCCCGTGGCACCCTGATTTAGCAGGACAAGAGGAAGAGCCGTGCTTGGTCAGGAGGGTGAATCACGTGGGAGCTCACCTGCCAGGAGCTGTCTCCCTCTGTCCCATTTCTGTAGCGCTCCGTTTTTCATGCTTGTTTGAGATGAGCAAAGCTGTCGCTGATGGTGACAGGGACTCACAGCCTAATGCAGGGAGTCATCTTGGGGTGCTGGGTTGAGACTGATGTGGCCAGACACATTTTAGCTGTGAAGGACTCAAATGCCTCCCCAGCAAGAGCTGCTTCCTTGCACACGTGCACGTTTTTGGGACGGGCAGTAGGCAGGCAGGCCTTCCATGCTTCGAGTCCCTGCTCATTCTGTCCCAGAAGCTCGGGTGTCCTAAGATGCCCTTTCTCTCCTTATTTTCTAGCTGGATCCCCCTGAAGTGGACCAAGACTCCCAGTCTCATGCCAGTGTCTCCTGGGTCGTGGACCCCAAGCAGGACTCCAAGCGGACCCTCAGCACTAAGTATGAGACCACTATCTTCTAAAGCAAACGCCCGCGTCCGCCCCGTCTAACCGTGCCTTTGCGATCTGATCTGTCTGCTCTTCTAAACTCCCTCTTCCTCCAGCTGCTCGCCCTGAGCCCGCGTAGGCACCGCGTCCAAGGCAGCAGCACTTAGGAGACTGTAGACTTAAACGGCTTTTGTACCTGATCGCTGCTGAACACTGTGAATCTCCTTACTCGGAATCGAGGGTAACGCGCTGTAGCTGCCCGCGAGGCGGGAGGAGCAGAGAGGGCAGGCTGGCAGCCGGAGATGTGGATCCAGGAGAGCCGCCCACCGTTTTCACGTCTTCCCCCCCTCGCTCTGGCACTGTGAATCCCTGGGGCAATGTGATACTCCCCAGGCCTTTTTTTTCTATCTCACCTTGTCCTTGGACTGATGGAGACCTCTTGTCTCTTCGGTGCACACACTCCCTCCTCCTAGATCCTCCTCTTCCCAACTGAGCCACGGCTGTGTACTGTTCAGTGAACTCACCTCTCCTTCCTGCCAGTCGAACCGACACTAACCACTGTGATGCTCTCTGCAGATAACACACGGGCACTTCAGTTTCCTCACAGCCGCCCTTGTCCGCAGTCTCCTTCCTCAAAACCCAGCACAGAACTTGCTCTGGGTGGTGGGGGAGCGTTGGTTTGGGCCGGGTGTGATCGTTCCCACTGTGAGCTCTGTCCCCTCGGACATGAGGGGGGGTTTGGTTGCATGCATTTCAGTCCTTTCTAGGTTTTTCTTTCCCTCATAGTCCTTGTGTTTACACTCACCAGACTTCTCCTGAAGTTCTCACGTGGCAGCCTCTGGGGTTAAGCTTCCAAAGGCACATGTTGTTGTTAGCCCCAGGCTGGGGAGGAGAGGTGTCAGCTGGGCACCACAAGCAGCATCAGCAGGGAGAGGTTAGGGAGCAGCCCTAGGTTATTTGCCCCTGGCGTTAGGGCCAGTAGCAGCTTGTCTGAGTTTTGCTGTGGCTTTGGAGCTGCTGCCTCAAATCTTCCATTTCCCCTCACCTGCAGTGAAATCTGATGTTTCAAAGTCGTTTTTTAGCTCTTTCTCAGGAATGAGTTTGATCTCCCAAGTCATTTGCAACTTAATGGCAAACTGACCTCAGACTGAGGGCTCAGCCAGTGGGAACCCAGTGAGAGGACTAAAAGTGTTGTCTTAGAGCAAAAAAAGCTAAGGAAAGCTCAGTCTAGTACATACATTTCATATGCCACAGAGTCCCTGACACAGCGGGCCTGCAGTGCCACCCTGCCAGCCCAGGCCTTGTGGACAGCAGAACGTTGCTGTGCCTGAGGCGCTCCAAGAGGTTGAGTTTGGTTTCCATCAGCACTTTTCCAAGCTCTAAGAGTGCCCTGAAGGTTTCTGTGTCCCTCTGAGAGAAACTCAGTCCCTGGTGTGGGTGGCAGAGCAGTTTCTACGTGTAGGTGTTCTCCACGCAGCTGCCACACGTCCCCCCAGTGTCAGAGGCTCTGAGCTCTTCACCTCCCCCTGCTCTCAGCTGGGAAGGGCAGGTCCCTCCACACCCCCTAAATCCGGGTCACGAGAGCATGTGCCTTTCTAAGGGTGACCAAACCCAGCAGGGATCACAGGCAGCCCTTCCCAAACCGCGCCGCTGCCGCTCTGTGTCCGTAGCCCTGACGGTTTTTTTGTGTCCCATCTCCGGCCCGTTCGCCTCGCCTCTCCCAGCACGTGTTTTTGTATGACTCGGAAATTCATTCCATTATTTCCTTTCTGTTTGCCTCTGCGAAGCTGAGCTCCGGGCAGCCGTCTCCTACCACGGGATGTAGTAGCGGGGCAGAGACCTGGGACGCAGTGGCCTCCTGACATGAAGATCTTCTTCCCTCTGGCACGGGTGGCTGCCTCAGAGTGGCTGCGTGGCTGCTCGGTGAGGGCTCCCAGAGCACAGGGGGGAAGGGACCCAGCTCCGCCGAGGAAAGCTGCTCATCTCCATTCCTAGCAAAGGAAAACTCGAGACTCGGAGGCCAAGAGCGATGTCGCCTTTCCTAGTTTGAGACAAAACGTCTTTCCGCCAGTTTCTTTTTTAATGAAGTGACACAGAGCAAATCCGGTTCACGGTTTCAATGTAGCACTGCAGCTTTTTGGTGAGGAAAAAAAAAAACAACACAGATTTTCATTTACTGAGAATCCTGCAGTCCAGCGAGGAGCACGATAGAAAGTCTTAGCAGGGGCGTGGTGTGCACATTTCTGATGGTACTTACTCTGCTTCAGCTCTGGGTGAGCAGGAGAGAACGCCAAATTCTTGGAGATCGCTTCCTCCTGTGTGAGAACCTGGCAGGGTAAGTCTGCATCCCGTTCTCCAAGCCACTCCACGCTTTTATAGCAAATGGAAGTAACTTGAGGAAAAGAATCTGCAAAGGATCTTTCACCCCAGAGCAGCTGTGGCCAATATCCCCGATGGTACAAAGCTTCCTTATCCCCCGAACTGTCGTGTTGCAATACTTGACATTTCTATGGCAAGGACCCCGTTTCTTCCCATTTCCGCACTGAATTCCTGGGACGACTCCCTGCTCCAGCCTCTGTGCACCTGTCTTGTTTTTAAATGCAGTTATGCCCTGAAGGGTTGGGGGTTTTTTTTAAGTATATTCAATTGTGATTTAGCACTTTTTTGATACTAGCTCATTATTTAATTAGTGCAACCGTTTCAGAAGATGAACAAATAAGGAGTTAAATTTTGGGCATTACACTGAAACAGTCCATCCCCAAGGACAAACCACATCAGCCTGAGGGTGGCTTGGCCCCGTCCGAGCCCAGTGTCCCCAAAGACACCACCTCAAAGGTGCTGTGTGCTTGCTTTTATTCTGAATTACGGAGTGTTTCACAGTGGTTTGGGCTGTGACTGACGTGTTTTCAGACTGTTCCCCTCTGGGGAGATTGTTAAAATGGTTGTGATATGAATTCTTCAGATGCAGAATGCAGCGCAGTGTGTCTGTGGTGATCTCACCAGGCCCTGGCAGGGCTGTGGGACCTGCTGCCACGGGAACACTGTGCCCGAGTAATTCCTGTTTAACTCCAGTTGCTGCTGTATTGTCAGGATTTCCTTTAGTCTCTCTCACCGGTGAGGCTGGGAGGGAAGTGAACCATAATCCCAAGGGCACAGACCTGTAAAGGATTGGCAAGGGGGAGTGGAGATTTTGGGTTAAGTCAATGAATTTAGGAAACCTAACATTCCTTGTTATGCACATGTTGCAATTCATACTGGTGTAAGTGTAAATATTTGGTGTGTTGGCAACAAGTCTTTGGTGAGATTGCAAATTGAACCTCTGCTTGGGAGGAGGGACACCTTTCCTTTCTGACACGTGAGCTTTTTTGGAGGTTGGCTTGGAGGTAACGTGGTGATGAAGACTCCAATCTTCAGGCACTGGGCTCGGTGACCCTGGTGGTCCATGCCAGCCCCATGTGTAAACCTGTGGTTGTCTTTAGTGATCCATTCTTTAGCCAGACACTCCCTTTCTCACCTTTCTCACAGACAGAGCAGTTGTTCTGGCAGTTCAGTGTGGTGAGGTTTCTTGAGGGACTCAGTGCTGGAGACTGACCCTGGGCTGTGCCAGTTTTTGGCTCCTGGCCACCTTCACCCACCCACTGTGCAGTATTCGGGCTCTTCCTCCCTGCAGGGTTTTGTGCTATCTTGAGGAAACTGCCCCAAATTTCTGGTGCTGAACATGACATTGCATCCAGCTGCATCTGCTGTATTACCTGCCCGGGAGGAGTTTGGGCTCCTCTGTTCCTCTCTTTAAAGACAGATTGTGTTTCACAGACTTTGGTTTGTGGGCTGAGCCCTCACTCACGGCTGGCAAACAGAGTTGCCAAGTTTTGTCTTTCTTTTTATAGGAGGGGATGATTTTTTTTTTTTTCAAATTGAAGATGCTTTATCCTTTTTTTATTTTGTGTTTACGAAGAAAAAAAAAAAATCAGCGCTAACCTTAGTTGTTCAGCTGACTTTAAACTTGCTTTGGGATTGTTCTTTTTAGAAGAAATTATGCAACTTTTAGGGGTACACGCCTGTCCCCCCTCCCAGGGAGAAGATGCAGCACCTTCCAGGCTGTACCTGTAGTGAAGTCTGTACCTTCAGGAGGCTGCTGAGACACAGAGCAGATGCCAAAAAGCCCCGAACTCGTCCCGTTCTGTGTGCAGCTGAGGTGGAGCCAATGCTTTAATGCTCCTTCCACCCACCTCAGAAGTTTCCAGCAGCAGCAGCAGCATTTCCCTGGCTCTGCTCAGATCCGTGTTTTGGAGCCAGCACAGCGCTCACAAAGCTGTCGTGTTGCAAAGGTCTCCCTTTTAAATCTCATATAAATAATACCTTAAATTTGTTTTCCCAAAAGAAAAGTACCTGTGCTGTTCTTGCTAAGTCAACCCAGCTCAGACATTTTTCTTACCCACAGAAGAATAACCTGGGATTCCCTGACAGGGCAGAGACAGTCGAGTTCAGTTTGCAATGTGGACATTTTTGCTAATTGTGATGTATGGCAGTGGGGCTGATTTGTAATACAAATGTTATTTAATCTGTCTGTATTTTGATACTTGAATTTCCTTTTATTTCCTGTATATACAATTGTTAATCTGTTCAAATTTGTCTGAATTTTAAACATCTTGTGGTACCAAACATAACCAATCTGTGCAACAACATAGACTGACCTCACTACAACAAGGCGAGATTGTAAATATTCCTGGGCTTCCAGCAGTCGTTTTGTTGTTTTCATAATTGTACAACTTAGAACAGACCGAATTAATAAACAACCTTAGACACACGTGTGTGCTCTTGTGTGTGGCCCCAGTGTTGTGCCCAAGTCCTGCTGGGGGTCTGTGTCAAAGCAGGGCAGTTCTCATCCTGCAGGCACTGGCTGCGGGGGTTTGGGAGCTTTGGTTGAAGCTGTTTTTTCTGCAGCCAGTCATAATGACCCAAACATTGAATATTATTATTTTGAGTCTAATTTATGCGTAAAATCACATCCAAATGTTCTGTTAAAGACAGCACGAGGGTCTGCAGGCATTGTGGGTGTATTCTACACGTGATGGAGGGTTAGAAAAGCACATTTTTACCCCCACTGAAGTACATCTGCAAGGACTGTGTCCCTGGGGGCTCTCATGTACTGGGGATAGCCACTGAAATCCTTTTTTGCAGCATGGCAGCGAGTGGTTCCTGTGACACCAGTACCCATTTGGGCAACCATGGTTCAGAACATTTACCCAGAAAAGACCTGGGGCTTGCCAGGAACTAGGACATTTCAGTATGTAAAATAAGAGCAAGAAATCCAGACATTTAAATACAGGTTAAAGTTCAGATTTTCGTGTCAAGTAAAATCTGACTGATGTGAAATGCTAAATACACCAGGGATTGCTAAATTTATACCATATGTTCCATTTCTAATAGCAAGGCAAGTCAGGTTTTCAGGCTGACATGAAATACACTGAGCTGCTTTAATGGTTTGAAGCACCATGAGGTTTTATCCCTCACAGCCACAGCCCTGGCTGGGGCTGACACCTCAGCAGAGGTTACAGGCCCTGGGCAGAATCTGAGTTTTTAACTGAGTTAAAAAGCCTGATCTGCACTGCAGTTCACTGAGCTCCACAGCCCCTTGCCTTCCCCACCAAATAGTGACAGGTTTTTGAGGAAGGAAGACTGCTGCTTTTTCTAGTTGAGAGGTTTATTCAGATCCTGACGTGCCAAGTGTTATCTCCTGCTGGCCTCGGTGGAGTTGGATGAATTTCTACAAGCTGAGGCAAGATCTGAGAAACTGGAGGAGAATGGATTCCACCCCTGCCTGGCACGTGGAGAATGTGATCAGAAATAATCCAGCTTGCAGCTGGGAAAAGTTCCTTCCTGAGAATTCCCAAACTCTTGCCTGTTGTTGATTGCACTTCCAAACCTGCACCCAACTTCCAGCAGCTCCTCCTGAATGGAACCGAGGCCCCTTGGGAAATCTTTCTGAGAATATTGTCCATCAAGGAAAATTAAAAGGCTGAGGAGGGAATGAATCCACTGCCCTGTAGGGAAGGAAAGTATGAAAACAAAAAATAATTGATCAATCAACAGAAATCTGTGAGAGAAGCTTCCTCAGGCAGCCAGGAGCAGATTAGGGGCAGCCCTGTTACAGGAGGTTGCTGTAGGAACCAGGAACTCCCTGGAGGGATGCAGATAAAGCAGCATCCAGCACAGGAACCCGGGTGACCGTGTGGCACCTGAGAGCACTTCAGGATCAGGTGTACTCCCCTTGCTTTCTCTTTGTCCAACATCCAATTTCTTTCATGCAGGAAAAAGCCACATCAGTGACTTGTGGTGTGCAGGGGACAAAGTCTGGCCAGATCCTTCTGCAGAAGGTGCAGAGACCGTGTCAGAGAGCTCTTGAGCTGAGACACCAACACCTCAGAGGAGAGCTCCTCTGCAGAGTCTGCTTTGTTCGTGTCACAGTCACAGCTTACACAGCTGGAGCCTCTAAATCTTTCCATATTAGTGACTCATATCTGACACTCATCAGATTTAAGACCTTCTTAGTAAATCGTGAAGCAGTGAATAAATAAAACAAGCTCCAACTTTTTTTGCTTATTCCAAGAGCCATCTTATTTTCTTGGTACTTCTTCAGTCAGACCCAAACCCCCTCCATCCCCATTCTCACACATTTTTTGCTAGGAGACAGAGAAAAGCCAAGCCTGAATATAGAGATACATATTTATATTTATATTTATATTTATACACACGCAGACCTGTGTGGGAGAAGCCGACCCCTGGCAGTCCAAAGTCGCTCCAAGGACAATTTCATGCACAATGCTCAGTGTGGAAATGTCACCAGTGACCGCCCACAGCTGGCTCCGGGAGAGAACCGGAGCAGGCCTGGCTGCAGAAAAGCAGGATAAAAGTAAGGGAAGGAACGCGAACCCAGCCTCGAGAGGAAAAGGGGGTTAAAAGCATTTACTGAGCAGCTTTTGAGTAAAAACGTGCACGTTTGTGTACAGACAAATCACCTCGCCAGCTGCGGCCGTGAGGGGACCTGCCTCCCTCTCGTCCCCGCGATCCCCGGCGCGGGGCTGACCCCTAGTGCCGGCCTGAATGAACAGCGGGCACTGAGGGAATGAACAGCGGGCACTGAGGGAATGAACAGCGGGCACTGCCCTCGGCCGCTGCCCGCACCCCGGGGTCCCGCGCCCACCACCCCCAAACCGCCTTCGGGCCCGGCGGGCCGGGACTCCCCCGGACCGCGGAGCACGGCACCCCCCTGCTCCGCCAATGGGCCGCGCCAGGCGCCGTGTCGAGGCGGCGCGGAGGGGCGCTCCCATTACGGGCGGAGGGGGGAGAGAGGGGGGCCGGTGTGAGGCGTGTGAGGCGCCGCTCTGAGGGGCGGCAGCGGCGGCGAGACCCGGGGGCGGCCCGGGCTCTGCCATCGCACCCGGCCCTGCCATCGCACCCGGCCCTACCATCGCACCCGGCCCTGCCATCGCATCCCAGCCTTGCTGTCGTACCCAGCCCTGCCATCGCACCCGGCCCTGCCATCGCACCCGGCCCTGCCATCGCATCCCAGCCTTGCTGTCGTACCCAGCCCTGCCATCGCACCCGGCCCTGCCATCGTACCCAGCCCTGCCATCACACCCGGCCCTGCCATCGCATCCCAGCCCTGCCATCACACCCGGCCCTGCCATCGCATCCCAGCCCTGCCATCGCACCCGGCCATCCCGGCCCAGCTGTGGGGGCGGCCCGGAGCTGTCGGGGAGCGGCAGCGGGAGCTGCAGGGAGCGCTGCTGGCCGTGCAGCCGCCGCACCGTCCTTCCTCCTCCCTCGTTCCTCAGAGCTTGTCCCTTTTCCTTTCCGGTGGGCCCAGAAGGGAGGGCTTGACTCCGGTCACCTGCTGTAAACTCTCCTGCACTTCTCTGGGATTGGGGTTAAACCTTCCGAAGGGCAAACCCCCAAACGCTGGGATGAGGCTCCTTGTGTGCCAATAAACAATTTGCCTTTTTTCTCCCTCCCAGCATTTTTCCCCCTTTAATTTATTTCCTCCACATCCATGACAGCTGCCTGCCGGCGCCTGTGGCACTGAGGGATTACAGAGCCCTCAGGGCCACAGGGCAGGGACAGGGGATGGGAATGGGATGGGAATGGGATGGGATGGGATGGGATGGGATGGGATGGGATGGGATGGGATGGGATGGGATGGGATGGGATGGGATGGGATGGGATGGGATGGGATGGGATGGGATGGGATGGGATGGGATGGGATGGGATGGGATGGGATGGATGGGATGGGATAGGGATAGGGATGGGATGGGGATGGGAATGGGATGGGATGGGATGGGATGGGATGGGATGGGATGGGATGGATGGGATGGGATAGGGATAGGGATGGGATGGGGATGGGGCAGCTGCTCAGAACCGTGGGGACGGCTTGTGAGTGGGAAAGCAACTGGTCATGAGAAACAAAACCAGTAAAGCTCATCGTGAGACCTGCCTGGCCCAAATCCCACCCAGGAGTTTCCCTCGGTGCTCCTTGTGCATTTTGTGCAGTGCCAGACCCAGCTCCTGCCCTTTTCTGATCCTTACCTTTGCGTGAGGAAGCTGAGGATGGGGAAATAGCATTTATAGAGAGCAGAACAACACAGCTCCTGAGGGGACTGCACTTTCCTCTTGTCTCTGTTTCAGAGCTTGGCCTCTTGCTTCCAACCTATAAATCCTGATCCCAGAGGAGGCAATTGTATTTAAATATATATGCATTTCCCCTGCATTAATTTCCTTTCCCATGTGACTGGTGACATGAAGGATTGTAACAGAAGAATGTATTTTTAATGCATTTCCTGCAGATTTCTGCAAGGCAATCTAATTCCTGAGTGGGTTTAACTTGCCACAAAGGCAGAGGACCTCAGGAGCACTGGTAATTGGTCTGGGTGGGTTCTTTTAGTCTACTGTTTTAATGTGCTCCATCCATCTCTCTGATTAGATTAATCTCATTTATTTTAGCCAAGCCATCTAGCTGAAATCCCCACAGAGGAAATTGGGATTTTGAGTCTTTCAGGGTGAGCGCTGGGAGTGTTAGGCAGCGAACTCCACAGGGAGATTTCCAATTTGCCCTTTTATCACGTCAGGAATGTGTAACCCTGGTGATCACACTGAAGGGACCGTTTGGGCTGTGAATCTGCTTCATCCATGAGGGGCTGTGGAGAGCCCACGCAGGTCTCCTCTGCCCTGCTTGAAGCAACTTCCCTAAGAAATTAAACCCAGCCTGGTGCAGAGGGCTCAGCTTTCCAAGAAGGCTCCCATTTTCCTGGCAGGAGCAGAGAGAGCTCCATGGCTGGACCTTCCTCACCTGTGGAATGGCCACGCTTTTGCAGCCCCATCGTCGTGACCGTGCTGGGCGCGGCGAGGGGGAGAGCCTGCCAGTGCAAACAGAAATACCTTCCCCGTTGAAGGGGAAATGGATTTTTTGTTTAAAAGATGGCAATGTTTTTCCAAGCCTGATGAATATGAAAGTCCCCATTTAAAGGAGTCGAACCAGTGGAGAAGCTGGTCACTGTTTGCACGCCCACGCGCCGACAGAGGAGGTGAAAGCAAACTTCCTGGTGTATCCCGATCCAAATCACCTGGGAGTGAGGCACAGTGCCCCGAGCTGTGAGCTGCTGTGCTGAGCAGCTGCAGAAAGCTCTCTGTGAAACAGCAAACCCCATCCCAACAGGAGAGGCAGAGCCCTGGTGGTGTCACAACCCTCACTTCCAAAACACGAGGCAACCTGGAGCGTAGCTGCATCAGTGGCTGTTGGAAATTGGCCTT